CACGTGCGTGGGGTGTGAGGGCTGCTGCGGAGAGGCCACGTGCGTGGGGTGTGAGGGCTGCTGCGGAGAGGGCAGAGGGCCGTGTAGGGCCAAGGGGAGGCCCAGGAGAGGAGCCGTCAGCTGTATCTTGGGGTGGGTGGCAACCTTTGGGCTGCCCACAGTGCCATCTTGTTGAGCTAGCTCTTGAAGCCCAAGGGGCAGGAAAGTGTGTAGCAGACCGGACTGGCAGTGACCCAGGGGACATTTGATTGGAAAGCAGGCTGTGGGGACCAATGAGGAATGAGGTCAGGACTGTGTGAAGAGGCTGAGTCTTGTTTAGGGGACAGTGGATCAGAGGGTGAAAGTGGGGGTAACCAGGTAGCCTCTGTGGCTGCCCACATGGAGGGGACTGGGGGTGGCCCAGGGCATTTGCGCCTGGCTGGCTCAGTTGGTAGAGCATCCGACTCTCGATCTCAGGGTCATGAGTTCAAGCCCCACGTAGGACATGGAGCCTCCTTAAAAAAAGGGGGGGTGGATAACATATCATTTCTTGTGCAGCAGGCGCCCTGATGCTGCATTTTAAATCCCAGAAGTCATTATGAGTATTTTGTACAGTCAGTATTCTTTTAGATTTCCCTTTATATTTACTCTGTCTGATGCATTTCATTCCTTCTGCAATTCAGTGCTCCCATCTGAGATCATTTTCCTTCAGTCAGAAGCACTCCCCTTAGTATTTCTTGACAGATTCCCTGATGACCAGTTTCACCAATTTTGCTTTTTCTGGCCAAGGTTTTCTTTGAAGGCTATTTTTTTTTTTTAAAGATTTATTTATTTATTTGAGAGAGAGAGCACGAGTGCTGGGGATGGGAGGTTGGCAGAGGGAGAGAGAGAGAGAGAATCCCAAGCAGACTCCCCACTGAGCATAGAGCCCGATGCGGGGCTCGGTCTCACAACCCTGAGATCATGACCTGAGCCGAAATCAAGAGTCAGACGCTTATCTGACTGAGCCACCCAGGCAGCCCTCTTTGAAGGCTATTTTGTCTAGATTATCATTCTGGTGTGACGTTCTAATTACTTTTGGCATTGCCCATGTATCAACCCATTGTCTTATGGTTTCCATTGTTTCTGTCGAGAAGTCAGCTGTCTGTTTTAGGTTTTCCTTTGAAGGCCAGGTGTCTTTATCTAATTTAAGAATTTCTCTTTGTGTTTGGTGTTGAGTAGTTTGATAATGATTTGCCTAAGTGTGCTCTTCTTTGGAGCTTCTAGTGTTTCTTTAATCTGTGTGTGCCTTGGCTTGATGTTTTCCACTTATTTTGTGAAACTTTCCCAGTTATTATCTCTTTAAATATTGCTCCTGGGGCTCTCATTACATGTTATGTTAGCTCTTTCCACCATGTCCCATGGGTCTCTCATGTTCTTTTTTGTATTTCCCAACTTTTTTTCCTCTGTGCCTCGGTCTGGATATTTTCTGACTTAAGTTGCGGTTCACTAATCCCCCCTTTAGTTGTTCTAAACTGCTGTTGAACCCATTTATTGAGCTCTTAACTTTGGTTATATTTTCAGTTGTAGAATTCCCATTTAATTAATTTTTAGTTTGAGATTCTCTGCTGCAATTCTCCATCGTGTGATACACCTTCCTGAACTTTCATTAATTTCAGTTGTTTTATATTTCATTTCTAATCATTTTAATATTTGGATCTTCTTTAAGTGTATTTCTGTCATTTTTTTTTTCCTCATGGCTTTGGTAGAATCCTGGATATTGTGTATGAAAAGTCCTAGGGATAATTTGGCTTCTGAATCATTTATTTTCTTCTGGAGAAAATGTATTCCAGCTTCTGGCAAGCGGTTAGGCTATGGGTGCCCTCACCCACCCTCTCAGGACTGAGGAAGAGGCTTCCTTCCTCGAACTGATGCAAACTTCTGTCTCTTCAGCCCCATGGGTTGGCAGGAAGCTCTGCTTCGGGTCTCCGCTTTTCAACCTCCGCGTGTAAGTAGATGCTTTAAGGGAGAAGAGGCGCCCAAGGTTGGACTCACCTGTCACACTGCCCCTCCCTCCATGATCGCAGCCCCTCCGATCCTGGTTGCCTTGGTACTTCTCCAAGGCTAACAAATAGATTTTTTAAAAATACATCTGTTGTCAGGTTTTTAAGCTGTTTGCAGAAGCAGGGGGTTAAACCTTGGTCCTGTGTTGGAAAGACCAGGCCCCCGAGCAGAACCCAGTGCCCCCGTGACCTGCCCCAGAGACTCTTGCCCTTTGGCGGCGATAGCTGTCGGGGAGGGCCAGTTAATTAGGCATTAGTGAGAGGCAGTCTCTTCATTAGGTCTCCCAGAGTGAAGCAGGGAGGGCTCGGACCTAGCTTGACACAGCTGGCAGACCCTCCTTGTTTAGAGATGTGGAAACTGAGGCCCAGGATGGGTCAGTGCCACAGTGACCGGGACCCAGGTGTTCGCGACTGCTGGGCCCATGCTCAGCTCCAGGGGGAGCAGGGGACAGCGGGCAGCAGGGCAGCTGTAGGGGCTGGGGTGCTGGGTGGCCAGCCCCTCTGGCCAGTGTTGCTGTTGCGCTGGCCTCTCCCCGGCCCCCTGCCATGGCCTCCCCATTCCGGCGTCTTCTGAAGCCTGGGCAGCAAGGGGCCTGAGGATGTGGGCACTCATTGCTGTTGCCGCGAGCCCTGGGTGCAGCTCCCAGCGGCCTCCCCTCTCCCCTGCCCATTGCTCACAAAGCCCTGGAGCTGGTTCCTGAGAGTGATAGGGTTCTTTTTTTCCTCACTAATCGCTGTAGTTTTTCTGTCCACACCCAGTTTCTCTTCCACTTTCCTCCCCACCCTGTTGTGAAGGAAAATCATGCTCTGCTTTCCCTCCCGGTGCCTCAGTGGCATTTACCAGCAGGCCCGAGGGAGGCATTAGTGGGTAGAGGACGGCGGGGGGGGGTGTCCCTGCTCCTTGGAGGAAGCCTGTGGGAGTGGACGGCCGGCTTCCCGCATGTGGGCCTTGCCCGCACTGCCCCTCGGGGCCCTGGCAGAGAGGGGGGCTGCTGGAGCTGGTGAATTCGAGGACGATTGGCCTCAGAGAGCTCCCAGACTCAGACCACTGTCACTTGGTAGGTGTGTGGCCACAGACCACCCGCTGCCTCAGCCCTAGAAAAGCGGGCTGCCCAGGGGCTGGGGACTTTGGCAGCGTTTTTGCCCGGCAGAGACAGGATTCTGTAGGAGACGAACTGTGGGAGCCCTCCTGCTGGGAAAATGTGCCCTATCCTGGAGGCCCAGGATTTCTGAGAGGCCAGCAGTCCTTGAGGGGCCCCGAAGAGGTAGTGAAGGAGGACCCACATCCAGGCTCCCCTGGCTGGCGGATCAGGGGCCACTTCTCCCCCAAGGGTGAAATGGTCTGTCCACTGTCTCTGGCCTTTAGTAAGCAGCACCCCCCCCCCCCCCCCGGAACTGTCACTCTGCCACCCTGTGGGGTTAGCCAGGGCCCCTCCTCCTGTGGGCAGGCTTTTGGGTGTGGGGGTCGGGGTTGATGAGCTGCTGAGCCCGGGAGGCCCCAGCAAATGCTTGGTATGCCCAGCCCTGCCCGAGGAGACTGGCCAGGCCCACTGTGTGATCCTGGTCGCCCATGGCTCCTGTCCCTTCACAGAGCTCTTGGGGTCTGCCGGTAGCATTTTAAAGAGCTCTTGCAGCCGCGGGGCTGGGCCGTTCCCCTGGCTGTCCCGGGGGCCCAGCTTGTCCAGCGTTGCGTGCTGTCGTGCCCGTCCTTGACCCTTGCTGGCTGCTCCTGGCACACGCACAGCCTTGCCACCAAGAGTTGAGGTCTGCCCTGGCGGCGCCGGGCTGCAAAGGCTCTGAGGAGGCGGCGGCACTTGGAGAACCAGTGGGTCACCACCGGTTTTCTCCTTTAAGAGAAACTCAGCCCGGGAGCTCTGGCCCTGACTCCAGGTCGGACGCTGTGGCCACTGCTGTGGGGCCGAGGACAGTGGTGCAGTCCCTCCGACCCTCAGGTCCCCTGACTGTCAGATGGAGCTCCTCCGGGGGACATGGCCAGGGAATGTTCCTGGGGCCTCCCTGGCCCCAGCTCTGGGCGAGAACCGACGGCACAGTTGGGGCCGTGGCAGAGCCGCCCGCCCAGCTGCCACCTGGCAGGTGACGGGGCTTGGCGACGGGGGCCAGTCCCAGTGATTCTTCAGTTCCTGCGCTTGCCCTTTCCCCAGGCTGTCTCCAGAGAGAGCGGAGGGAAGTGGAGAAGCCACACCCCAGCTCGCGTGGCTTCCTCACCGGCCGACCTGCCAGTGTGTGAGGTGAACGAGGCCCTCCGCTGCATCTCTGCCTGTTCTCTGCTCTCCTAGGGAGCTCAGGCTGCGGAACTATGTGCCCGAGGATGAGGACCTGAAGAGGAGGAGGGTGCCCCAGGCCAAGCCAGTTGCCGGTAGGTGGGCTGCCTCGCTCCACCTCTGCTCGGAGGCACCGACGGATGCCTCCACCTCGGCAGGGGTCGCGCTCTCTTGGAGAGTAACCAGCCGCGCCAGGGCTGGAAGGTGGGCTTCTAGGACCCCCGGGCACCATCTCACAGCCATGCGGCAGTAACCCGTGTTGAGCGACTGCAGAGAGGCGGTCAGGGCACCCAAGGGCCTGCGAGGGAAGGGGCCGCAGCCCCCTGGAGGACCTCTCTGGGCTGAGGAGTGGAAGTGGCCCTGGGACGCTGGGACAGCAAGGGCCGGGGGAAGGGTGGGGAGGGTCCTGGGGTCCGAGTGAGACCCTGAAGAGGAGCGGAGCGTTCAGGCACTCAGCGAGCCGTGGGCAGGCCGACGCCCGCCGGACGCAGAGGACGGGAGCGGCGTTCCTGTCGGGGCGAGCAGCCGCGAGCTCCTAGAGCTGCTCCACACTGGAGACGCAGAGCACTTCTTATCCCGGAGACCCCTGGCCCTGTTTGTAGCCTTCATTTTTGTGATCATTTCTGAATTCTACAAATTCTAAATGAATAGTCATTTATCTTGAAAATAGTAAAGTGTTACCCCTTCAGCCACACTCCAGTCTGCTTCCCCATGTTCTTTGCCCCGAGATTCACATGCTTTCCAGGTGGTTTGCTTCATGGTGTGGGCCACACTGTGGTGGGGACGGTGAGGCAGGCCAGGGGAGAGGGGTGGGGAGTGGTCCCGGGCCATGAGGCAGCACGTGGCAACAGTGACGGGGTCACAGGAAGCTCCTGGAGGAGCTTAGCGCCTCCCCAAAGTGACTGTCCCCTGCTCTTGGGAGCACATATCTGAGTGGGATGGGAAGAAGAGCCACCTGTGTCCCAGCCAGTCCATGGCCCAGAGGACATCCTCAGAGCCTAGGAGCCCCTGTAGAGTATGGGAAAGCCGGTCCTCGTGGTTCTTCACAAAACCGTACCGTGGCAGTACCCGGGCGGTGCTCCCATTTCCCAGGGGAGTGTAGCAGCTGTGCATCTGGCTGGAGGTCTGGGCTCCGTCTGTTCTAGCGGTCTGCCTCCTGCAGGCTCTCCTTCGCCCCAGGATTGTTTCATCCCGGGAAACCCAGGCCCTTCCTCCTGGGCAGCCTTTGCAGAGTCTTCGCCTCTGGAAGTTGGGAGCCCGGGAGAGGGGCCAAGAAAGCCCAGGGTCTCCGCGGGGACCCGCCCGCTCCCTCTCCCCCTCCCCCGGGCACCCCAGGGAGAGCTGGGCTCCTTTCCGACAGGCCTGTGTTGTTGTCTTGCACCCTCTAGTGGAAGAGAAGGTGAAGGAGCAGCTGGAGGCCGCCAAGCCCGAGCCCATCATCGAGGAAGTGGTGAGCACCCTTAGTGCCCCGGGGTGGCCCACTGGGGGCCCTTCTCTCCTCCCCCACACCCCCTCCTCCCTCCCTCCCATTCTTCTGCTTTCTACCCCTGTGCCCTTGAGCTGGGCCCCTCAAGCCCTGACATGCGTCTCCTCCCTCCCCAGGACCTGGCCAACCTCGCGCCCCGGAAGCCTGACTGGTGAGCGCTGCCACGTAGGACTAGCGTGGACTGAGCGGCCACTCGTGGTGCCGGGCACGGCCCTCAGGCTGAGCCTGTCCCGCCCTCACAGCAGGGAGACGGACAGTGTGGACGCGCAGCTACATGAGATAATTACCGTTCACAGTACATCCTGACAGGACATAGAAGGACAGCGAGAGGGAAGCCTGTGTGTGTGTGGAGGGGGGTGACGCCTGGAGGGCAAGGAGGGGCTCGGGGAGAGCGAGGAGCAGCCGTCTCCTCCAGAAGGCCCTTCTGCAAGGGCGAGGCTCCGGCCCACCTCAGCTGCATTTGAGCAAGGCCAGCCTTGGCCCTCAGGGAGCCACAGGATGGAGGCAGGGTGATGGGAAGGGGGGATGTTGATTCCTGTCCCGGTTCTGCCACCAACTGGCCTGTTCTGCTTTGGCCTCAGTTTCGTGTTCTGTGAAGTGGGGCTAATCTTCCTTCCCCGGTGCCTTGTGACCAGGCTGATACAGAGGGTGAGAGAGGGCCATATGGCCTGGGGCTGGTGTTGTCCTTGACCTCGGGCCAGAGGCGTGGGCCGCATTTCCTCTCACCTGCGATCCTGTGGCAGGCACCGCACCACTGAAGGTGTTCTTATTTGTTGAAACAAAAGCATGGGGCGTACACCCTAGGAATCCCTGAATAGGGGGAGTAGGCTGTGTGTGCGCTTTTGGAAGCGCCTGTTGGCGAGGGGGAGCAGGACCCACAGTGGAACCAGACCGAGAGGGCAACTCTGAGAAACCATCCACCCTGCACACCTTGACTCAGTCCCACGTTTGGTGGATCTGCGGCACCAGTCGCTGCCTCAGCAGGACGGGGCAGGGTGGCTGATGCTGGGTTTGGGAGGGTGCAGAGAGGGAGAGAGAGGAACGTCTTGGTCTCCTCCCCAGGGCGGTCTCCTCAGGCAACTGAATGTGATTCCTAATGCCAGAGGGGCTTTGGGAGGGGAGGGTCCCAAGTCCACACCAAGCCAAGCTTTAGCTTCTGGCCTCCTCGTACCTGCCCGCCACAGGGACCTCAAGAGAGACGTAGCCAAGAAGCTGGAGAAGCTAGAAAAGCGGACCCAGAGGGCCATCGCCGAGTTGATCCGTAAGTACAGGGCCTAGCAAGGTGGGGTCCTTGCCCTCTGGGTGGTGGCCCAAGCACAGGGCCCCTCCCCACTCCTTCTGTCTGCCATCCATCCAGGTGAGAGGCTGAAAGGCCAGGAGGACAGCCTGGCCTCTGCAGTGGACGCCACCACCGAGCCAGAGGCCTGTGACTCCGACTGAGGCACGCCGTATCCCAGACCTAGCCTGTGGGCGGGTAGCCTTGGGTAGGGATGGGGCCGGGCTTGCTGTTACCTCCAGTTTGGCTTCAAAGAGCCACATTGCCTCATCAGTCCAAAACCCTTGCCATGGGATGAGAACAGCTCCTTGTTTCCTAATGGTGCCCACCAGACCGAGGGGCAGAGCCAATAGCAACCCTGTGGGTTTGCTGTGTCTCTTCATATGTGTGTATTTGGAACTTTCTTTTATCTCTAGAAATAGAAGCAAGCAGACCCACGTGTGTGGCAGAAACCTATTAAATATTTTCTCGGTCCTTGGGGCGCTGTGGGTTTGGGCCCCAAGGCAGGAGTAAGCCCTGTGTGGGGCCAGGCATGTTGAGGCTGGAGGGGTGCAGAAGGCCCAGGCCTGACCTTTTGAGGCCAGGTCCTGGTCCAGTCAGGCGGTCATGTCAAAACCTGTGGGTGACAGAGAGTCTGGGAGGCTTCTGTAAGCCCTCCCATGGGCCTGGACCTTGCAGGAGTGTCCGGTCAGCCTGGAGAGTCTCCCAGCCTGGTCCTCTGTGGATCCCCTCACAGTGTGAGAGAGAGAAGGGAGAGGCTGGGCGTGAGGAGGGGGTGAGCTGTGCCCTGGCAAGCCTCCATCCCGGGCCACTCCAGATCCAAGGCTCCTGGCACTGTTGTGTCCCCCTCTCACAACCCCTGGTGGCCCCTGTCCCTACGTCACAGTCAGAGCTAGACCGTGGCTTCCCTGGGACAGGGCCCCTGCATTGGGGAGGGTGGCTCCTATAGACTAGGGTATTATAGCCTGGGTTTGGGGTGTGGTCTTGGGCCCTGGGTCCCCAGGGTCCTGGCATTAGGACCATGAGCCGCCTCTGTGGGGCTGACTCTCCAGAGTGACTGACCGGCCACAGCTCTGACTCCAGGTCCCTGTGGCCGACTAGAATTTCATCTCCAAAGTGGTAACACACTTGAGTTGCCTTCAGGGTCTCCCCTTGAGTCTCCTACCCCCACCCTGTGTCATCCCAGTGCGCCCTTCCCTCTGTGCTGAGTTGGAGGAACACATTGGCCTGACTCTGGTGGACGGTGCGGAGGACCCGGGCCAGAGGGCTGGAGCGAGTGCGTGCGACACCAGCACGCTCATACGATATAGCAAGTGCTTTCAGTTGGAAGTACGCAGCTACCCTGAGAAGGTGACTGGTGTAGGAAGGGAGCAGGCGTGACTGAGGGCCAGAGCAGTAGGTGGCTGGCTGAGCAGCGGTCAGGCCCAGGACTCTGGTTCCCACGGGAGCAGGGGTCACACATGCCCACGGGCGACAAGGCCGGAGCCAGACTCCCTCTGCATCGCGGCGTCTGGGACTGGCCTTCCCTTCCTGGGAATAAAGGACGAGAAGGTGCCCCCCGCCTTGGGACTGCCGTAGGAAGCAGGGTGCGTGTCTGTGGCAGTGTAGGCCCCCGGCGACATTCCCACTCCTCACCGGCGCTGGGACTAGCTTGTGGCCGGCCCCACAGAATGGGAGCCCTGAGAGCTGAGGAAAGGTTTGCTTCCTGCGTTGACAGCTCCGTGTGCCTACAGAAAACCACCGTGCAGGGAGAGAGCAAAACCAACAGCGTCACTCACGATGGGCATGCAAACAAAAGTTAGAAAATACGTGAGGAGATCCATGCCTTGAACACCAGGTGGAAGAGTTGAAACCCAAGGAAACTGAAACCATGACATCCTACCAGGCTTTAAAATGAGCCTTTGTTTTCTCACCAGAGAAGTAAAAGAGGCACTGAACCCCAAAACTCAGGAACGGGGATTAGGTATGAGGAAGACCTGGTTAGTAATCTTGGAAACAAAGAATGTTTATTAAAATAAGCAACACAGAACATAAGCAGCTCCCTTGAGGAGCTAAATACTAAGTGTCAAAGAAGGGATTGATCAATTGGAAGTTAAAGCTGAAGCCCCAAAAGACGACAGAGAGAGAGGGTAGGTTGCAAAGCTGACAGACTGCCAGGTGTTCTTGAGCGGATGGGAGATCAGGAAAAGAAAACTGGAGAAAGAAGGAATGGCTGACCACTTCTGTCGGTGGTATCATGGGACCACAGCAGCCTGAACTGATCCTCCCTTGGCAAATAGCTAAAAATACTAGGTAAATAAATAGTTACAACAAATACTTTTTAAATGCCTCACTGACCAGGCAAGAAAGTAAGGAACACTCAAGCAAAAAGGTAGGAGAAGCAGAATGCTGAAGCCCGACCTTTGACTTGAAGGTATTTGACAAACGAGGTAATACTGAGCGTTGGTTTTTGGGGTCCTCGGTGCCTGGGGCTAAGATAACCCAGTACCCGTGCATGATGAGGGGCCTGGTACGAGAGCCCTCCAGAAGGCTGGGGCTGCAAAGGTCAGGGCCCTCTGTGAACTAATAATAGATCTGATCCCTTGGCATCGCAGAGAAAAACTGAACCTTGCCATTGACTGGAGTGAAGGAAGGTCTCCCTTGAGAACTGAGCCGGCCTCCATATGGGTTTGCACATGAGAAACCTCAAGCCAGGAGTATAAGTGGTCCCAGAAAGGGCTGGTCTCAGATGCTTGATAGAAATGCAGATCCTAGGGGTGCCTGGGTGGCTCAGTTGGTTAAGCGACTGCCTTCAGCTCAGGTCATGATCCCCGGGTCCTGGGATCAAGCCCCACATCGGGCTCCCTGCTCAGCGGGCAACCTGCTTCTTCCTCTGCCTCTGCCCCTCCCCCTGCGTGTGCTCTCCTGCTCTCTCTTTGTCAAATAAAGAAAATCTTAAAAAAAAAAAAAAGGCAGATCCTACCTGAATGAACCTCGATTCATCACAGTCCTTGATGAAGCCCCATTGATAAAGTTCCAAGAAAATTGAGCAGCTTCTGGGAAAGGTCACTAGATCTACGAGGCAGCAAGGCACCGAGAGCAAAGGACATTGGCAGGGACATGGTAGGCTTGCAAAGGATTCATAGATTAGGATTACCAGGCACATGATTTAAATGTTGAAAAATGATGTAAGAACTAAAAGGCTTGAAAATAGGAATCGATTTGCCAAAAAAACCAAAGTGATGTTCTGGAAATAAAAACTATCATAGCAGTTAGAGGCCCTGGATCTGTGAATTAGAGCTAAAGAAACAGTTCATGAATGGGAAGCTAGGCCCGAAGAGGTTCTCCAGAATGCCGCCCAGCAAGGTAAACAGACCGATAACCTAAAAGAAGAAGCTTAGAGATACAGAGGATAGAGTGAGAAGAGCCAACATAACATGATTGGAGTTCCAGGAGGGAAAAAAGGCAGAAATGAAGCGGACCTAATATATATATATATTTTAATGGTTGGGAGCAACTCTTCAGAATCACCAATCCACAGATGCAAGGAGGTCAGCAAATCTCAAGCAAGGCAACAAAAAGAAATCAACACTCAGATGTTCCATCTCTTGGTATGGATGGTGATTAGTTAGGTATATGCAGTTTTTGACTGTTCATTGACCCCCACACATCTGACTTGTGCACTTTTTGTATGTTTATTACACCTCAATAAGCAAGTTCACTTTAAACTTTTTCATATCTTGCCTTAATCGTCAATTACTGTATTCACATTCCATACAAAACTCAGTGGCTTGAAACAGACCTTTAATATCAGACCGTTTTCTGTGAGTCAGGGATGCAGGCGTGGCTTACCCAGGCAGTTCTAGTTTGGGGTCTCTGAGATTGCAGTTAAGATGTCCCCCAGGGCTGCAGTCATCTGAAGGCTTGGCTGGGGCTGGAAGATATGCTTCTGGGATGCCTTACACCCCCGCGAAAGCTCATGGAAGCATGGCGTGCACACAGCCCTTGCCACATGGCTCTCTCCATAAGGCTTGCGTGAGTGTGTGTCTGTGCACTGTGGCAACTGGCTTTCCCCAGAATGAGCCATCCAAGACAGAAAGCAGGGGGAAGCTTTAGAGACTTTTATGACCCGGGCTTGGAAGTGATATTCTGCCACGTTATATTGTTAGAAGCAAGTCACAACATCCAGGCTACGTTCAAAGGAGAATTAGGTTCTACCTCTGGAAGGGAGGTCTAAGAATTTGTGGGTGTTATTTTAAAACCACCGCATACCTAGACAATTAAGTGCAATAAGTTGGCAGAAAAAAGAGCAAGAAAAGATGTTAAAATTAGAAAAGATACATTACCTTTTAAGGAGCAAGACAGCAGATGTCTCAGCCACAGCCAGTGTTATCGGGCACGATCCCTTCTGGTACCAGCGTTAACTAGACGAGAGGAAATTGTCAACTTAAAATTCTATACCCAGAGAATATATCTTACAAGATATTTTTAGACAAGCAAACTCAGAGATTTTGTCACCAGCAGACTCACATGAAAAGAAAGTCTCTTTGGGGGTAATGAAAATATTCTACAGTAGATTGTGGTGGTGGTTGCACAAATCTATGAATATGCCAAAAGCTTGTTGAATTGTACACTTGCAGTGGGCAAAGTGTATGAGATGTATGTTATATCTCAATAAAGCTGTTTAAAAAACATGAAATAAGCCTTCTCCTTTAAAAAAAGAAAAAGCTCTATGTCTTAAGATTGGAATGAGACATGATTCCAGATGGAGAATCTGAGATATAAGTAGGAATGAAGAGAAAGAAAGTGAAATCTAAATAGGTATTGACCTTATGAAATGAAAATGTTCTATGGAGTAGAAGTAAGACTAGGGTTACTAAAGTATGTAACAATAGTAGTAGTTACACACTCTTGCCCGAGGTGAGACGTGGTCAGGATTATAGCTCTCTACGAAGCTCAGCTCACTCGGGAAGAGAGAAAAGACTCAGTCTAGACTCTAGACTCTGCTCCACAGGCAGGCGGACATTTCTAGGGTAGCCCTAACAGAATAGAAACTGTACCACTTCCAAAGCAGTTAAAAAAAATAAAGTGAATGAAAAAAAAAATTACCCAAAAGAAGGTAGAGAAAAAGAGAAAAGGTAAGGCAAGTAAATGAATCCAAATACATCATTAATTACAATCAGCGTATTAAACCACCTTTTTAAAAAACTCAGTCTAATGCTATTTTTAAAAAGCCTAAACTCAAAGATCACAAGTAAAGGGATTAGAGAAGCTCTGCGAAGAGGTGCCTGGGTGGCTCAAGTCAGTTAAGCGTCTGCCTTCGGCTCAGGTCATGATCCCAGGGTCCTGGGATTGAGTCCCATGTCAGGCTCCCTGCTCAGCGGGGAGCCTGCTTCTCCCTCTGCATCTACTGTTTCCCCTGCTTGTGCTCTCTCTGAAATAAATAAATAAAATCTGAAGAAAAAAGAAAAGCTCTG